GCGCGAGCAGGCGAGGGAAACAGGCATGGGAAGAAATGGAGCCGGGGGAAGAGCTGGCGAGGCTCTGGGCGGCGGAGTGCCCACCTTGCAGCCAGAGTCTAGCTCCAGCGCCTTCTGGTAGACGTCCATGGCCTTTGTGTAGTCCTTCATGGCCTCAAGGGCAGCCGCCTTCCGCGTGTAACCCTTGACTGCAGACAGACAAGAGGTGAGCCCTGTCCACCACAGCCAGGAAGGCCACTGCTCGCGCCTCCTCAGACACACGCCACACCTGTGGATGCCGCGCCCCAAGTGCCATAGGCCCCAAAGGCAGACGGAGGGCGTGACCCTTCCTCTGCTAGCCTTGGGGCCAGAGCCCAGGGAAGAGGACAGGCAGCAGCAAGGCACTTACTGAAGGCGGGCTCCAGCTGGATGCACTCCTCGCAGTCCTAGAACAGCAGAGGGGAAGGAGGCTCACTCTCTTGGACAGGCCTTCACCGGGCAACCCAACCACATGGAGCCCCACCGACTCCTTGCCCAGAGCCACCAGAGGACACTGCTTTCACCTCCAGTGCCCCTGTCCGGGTGACTTTAGAGCAGACTAAGCAGGAGGATGGCAGAGGAGAAAGTCAGGCAATACCACCAGGGAATGCAACTCCAGGTTAGACCATCCCACACCGGATGAGGCCCTGGATCGCACAAGGTTGACGTCATGGAAAACACGGAAAGATCCTTCCAGTTTGAGAGACAGAAGAACCTGACAACTGGGTGAAATGCAAGGCCTTGACTCTGAGAAGCTTTCAAAACGTATTTCTGTCCGTTGGGCAGAAACTCAATGAAGAAAATCAAGTAGCCGGGCTCGGTGGCTCAGCCTGTAATCCCGCGCCTTTGGGAGGCTAAGGTGAGTGGACTGCCTGAGTCCGCGGGTTTGAGACCCACCTGGGCAACTTGGTGAGACCTCATCTCTACAATAAATCAAAAAAATTAGCTGTGTGTGGTAGTGTGTGCCTGTAGTTCCAGCTACTCGGAAGGCTGAGGCGGAAGGATCGCCGGAGCCCAGCGGGTCGAGGCTGCGGTGGCTGGGAGCGGCCACTGCACTCCAGTCTGGGCGACAGAGTGAGACTCCAACTTGAAAAAAAAAAAAAGAAAAAGCAAGTAAGGCCTATCTTTGGACGAGTGAGTAAACCTGGATACAGACAGGCGGGAGACGGAACTCCTGCTGGAGTCTTGACGTGACCAGGTGTGCCACTGGTGTCAGGACTGGACGAAAGTCTTTTCAGCTGACGTAGGCACAAGAATATGCAGGTCTAATTCTAAACACCAAATGGACACGATTTCCTTGCACTAATGGTTCAGCAAAAATGCATCGTCAATATTTAACTGTTGAACAAAGACCGGGGGTGCAGCGGGTATTCACTGTGTATTCTTCCATTTGAAACATCCTCACAATAAGAATTTATAAGAAAACGAATACTATGAATGTAGTGAGCACATGTGGGCCTGATTCTGACTCTGCCACCAAGAGGCTGCAGATCACAAACAATCCCGTTCACTCTCTCCCCACCTGCAAGACTGGGGGGAGAGCATCATCCCCTTCAGGGACCGACAACTGCTGTTCTTCGCTTCACAGACCCATAAGCTTTTGACACGACCCTTTAACAATCTCACCAGCAGCAGGGATGTCTCTAGGCCAAAGACCCAGAAGACAGTGGCCTCAACTATTAAAACCAACATGGACTCAGGTATTGGTGTTTCTAGACACACCACACTGTCACACGTTCTCAAAATATGATCCAGGTCTGTCTGCTAGAGAACAGTTTAAAAAAAAAATTGCTAGCCGGGCTCGGTGGCTCAGCCTGTAATCCCGTGCCTTTGGGAGGCTGAGGTGAGTGGACTGCCTGAGTCCGCGGGTTCGAGACCCGCCTGGGCAACTTGGCCAGACCTCATCTCTACAATAAATCAAAAAATCAGCTGGGCGTGGTAGCGTATGCCTGTAATTCCGGCTACTTGGAAGGCTGAGGCAGAAGGATCACCGGAGCCCAGCAGGTCGAGGCTGCGGTGGCCAGGAGCGGCCACTGCACTCTAGTCTGGGCGACAGAGTGAGACTCCAACTCAAAAAAAAAAAAAAAAAAAAATTTGCTGATAGAGGCAGAACAAGTCACACTCATGAGAAAGATAGGAAACTTCCAGTGTCCAACACAATCATATTTGACCAAACGTGAGGTGGCTGTGGACAGCAGACCTACCAAGATAAACAACAAAAAGCCAAGGGAGAAGAGTGCAGCTGCTGTGGAAAACAAGATAGTGGTTCCTGAAAAATAAGCACATAGGCCAGCCATGGTGGCACACGCCTGTAATCCCAGCACTTTGGGGGGGCCAAAGCAAGATGTTGCCTGAGCCCAGGAGTTTCAGATCAGTCTGGGCAACATGGCAAGACCTCGTCTCAACAATAAATAAAAAAAATCAGCCAGGCATGGTGGCACATATGTGCAGTCCCAGCTACTTGGAAGGCTGAGGCGGAAGGCCCATCAGAGCCAAGCAGGTTGAGGCTGCAGTGGCCATGATCACACCACTGCACTCCAGCCTGGGTGACAGAGTGACTGTGACTTAAACAAAAAACCCCACAGGGCTACCCTATGACCCAGCAATCCCACCTGGGCATACATCCCAAGCACTGGAAAGCAGGACTTAAACAGTTATTTATACACCCTTGTTCATAGCAGCAGCATCAACAATAGCTAAAAGGTAGAAGCAATGCAATGACCATGGACACATAAATAGACAAAATGTGCTGTGTACATACAATGAAGCATTATTCAGCCTTAACAAGAACAGAAATTCCAACACAAGGAATAAACCTTGAAGACACTGTGGCCAGGCGCAGTGGCTCAAGCCTATAATCCCAGCACTTTGGGAGGCCGAGGCAAGAGGACTGCCTGAGCTCACAGGTTCGAGACCAGCCTGGACAACACGATGAGACCTTGTCTCTACAATAAATCAAAAAATTAGCTGGGCGTGGTAGCATGCACCTGTAATTCCAGCAACCTGGAAGGTTGAGGCAGAAGGATCACCTGAGCCCAGGAGGTCAAGGCTGTGGCGGCCAGGAGTGTGCCACTGCACTCCAGCCTGGGCAACAGGGTGAGACTCCAACTCAAAAAAAAAAAAAAAAACAAAACTTCATGTTAAGGGAAGAAGCATCACAAAAGGACACATACTGTTGGATTCCACTAAACTAGTCAAATTGAATAAACTAGCCAAATTCACAGAAACAGCAAAAACAGTGGCTACCAGGGGCTAGAAGAGAGGGAGTTAGCACTTCAGGCAAACAAAGCTTCAGTTTGTGGAGATGCCCCTTCTGGATGTTAGTGATGGTTGCCCAAAAACGTATATGTGCTAATGCCACTGAACTGCGCACTTAAACATGGTTAAAAGACAAAACAGAGAATAAAATACGGGAAAGGATAATGGGGAGGGACAAGGATCAGGGTCCTCAGGGAAGGTGGACAGGACCCACTTTCCCAAGAGCTCCCAACCATTACTAACTCCCAGAGCAGGACCAAGACTCAGGTCCCCTATTCTACACCCCACACCAGTCTGGAGCAAAGTAAGAAGAGCACCCTGATGGTGATGAAAACACACAGAGAGAGTCTCTTCCTCTCACAGGCTTATGGTAATGGTCGCCCACCCAGATTGTACCTTGAGCGCCAGCTGGAACTCCAGGAGTTTGGTGTAGCAGGCGGCTCGGTTGCTGTACAATTTGGCATCCCGTGGGTTCCTTTTGATGGCTTCTGTATAATGCTTCATGGCCTGAGGATAGTCCCCTGGGGAAGGAAAACAAAGACGGGTTTTTTTTGAGTTGGAGTCTCACTCTGTTGCCCAGATGAGTGCAGTGGCCGCTCCCGGCCACCGCAACCTCGACCTGCTGGGCTCCGGCGATCCTTCCGCCTCAGTCTTCCAAGGAGCTGGAATTACAGGCATGCGCGACTGCGCCCGGCTGATTTTTTGATTGATTGTAGAGATGAGGTCTCGCTGCCCAGGCGGGTCTCAATCCCGCAGGCTCAGGCAATCCACTCGCCTTGGCCTCCCAAAGTGCTGGGATTACAGGCTGAGCCACCGAACCCGGCCCAAAGACGGTATTTTTAACTTTTTTTGAGTAGGAGTCTCACTCAGTCGTTTAGGCAGGAGTTCAGTGTCATACTCACAGCCACCACAGTCTCTACCTGCTGGGCTCAGGTGATCCTTCCACCTCATCCTTCCAAGTAGCTGAACTACAGATGTGCACTACCACGCCCAGCTAATGTTTAAAAAATTTTATCGTACAGATGAGGTCTTGCCATGCTGCCCAGGCTGGTCTTGAACCCTGGGGCTCAGGCAATCAGTCCTCTTGCCTCCGCCTCCCAAAGTGCTAGGATTATAGGCATGAGCCACCATGCTTGGCCACAAAAACTAATTTTCTTTTTTTTTTGAGTTGGAGTCTCACTTTGTTGCCCAGACTGGAGTGCAGTGGCCGCTCCCAGCCACCGCAGCCACGACCTGCTGGGCTCCGGCGATCCTTCCGCCTCAGCCTTCCGAGTAGTCGGAATTACAGGCATGCGCTACCACGCCCGGCTGATTTTTTGATTTATTGTAGAGATGAGGTCTCGCTGCCCAGGCGGGTCACGAAAAAACTAATTTTCAAAAAACAAAAGCCGCTGTCTCAACCAGCTCCATGAGCCCTGAGGTCAGGCAAGCACAGCCAGCTGCAACTCTTATCTGAGCAGCCCCATCCAAGCTGCAGGAAGTACCTTTCTGGAAACACTCGTTGCCTTTGTTCTTCTCTTCCAGGGCCAGGTCAGGGTTTATGTAGGCTAGCCGCTCTTGCTCCTTCAGGATTTTCTCTGCCTAAAAAAAATAATTCTTGAAATAGTCATTTAAACATGTACAATTATATATGTAAAATTTGGCTGTACATGTATAAACATGTAACTACTGAGCTAAAAAAGCTTGACGAAATTTTTTTTTTTTTTTTGATTTGGCGTCTCACTCTGTCACCCAGACTGGAGCAGTGGCCGCTCCCGGACACTGCAGCCTCGACCTGCTGGGCTTCAGCGATCCTTCCATCTCAGCCTTCCAAGTAGCTGAAACTACAGGAGCGTGCTTCCACGCCCAGCCAATGTTTGATTTATTCTAGAGATGAGATCTCGCCAAGTTGCCCAGGCGGGTCTTGAACCCACGGGCTCAGGCAATCCACTCACTTTAGCCTCCCAAAGCGCTGGGATTACAGGCTGAGCCACCAAGCCTGGCTTAAAATTTTAACTACCAGAGTACTGCTGGCAAGATTTCATGTTTAAGAACTCGACATTCCTAGCCAGGTATGGAGGCTCAAAGCCTGCAAACCCAGCACTTTGGGAGGCAGAGGCGAGAGGACTGCCTGAGCCTATGGGTTCAAGACCTGCCTGAGCAATTTGGCAAGACCTCGTCTCTACAATAAATAAATAAATAAATAAACCGGACGTGGTGGTGCACCTGTGGTTTCAGCTACTTGGAAGGTTGAGGCAGAAGGATGTGAGCCCAGCAGGTGGAGGCTGCAGTGGCTATGAGCATGCTACTGCACTTTAGCCTGGGTGACAGAATAAGACTCCAACTCAAAAAAAAGAAAGAACTTCACATTTCTCATTAAGGTGCACCATAAAACAGAATGAAGGTAGTGATACATCATTTGGTATAAAGATAAGTCCTGTATAAAAATAACACATGCTGGCCGGGCTCAGTGGCTCAGCCTGTAATCCCACCGCTTCGGGAGGCCAAGGTGAGTAGATTGCCAGAGCCCGCGGGTTCGAGACCCACCTGGGCAACTTGGCAAGACCTCATCTCTACAATAAATCAAAAATCAGCCGGACATGGTAGCGCGCGCTTGTAATTCCGGCTACTCGGAAGGCTGAGGCGGAAGGATCGCTGGAGCCCAGTGCATCGAGGCTGCGGTGGCCAGCAGCGGCCACTGCACTCCAGTCTGGGCAACTGAGTGAAACTTCAACTCAAAAAAAAAAATTAGCCGGGTGCGGTAGTGTGCGCCTGTAGTTCCAGCTACTTGGAAGGCTGAAGCAGAAGGATCACCGGAGCCCAGCAGGTCGAGGCTGCAGTGTGGCCAGGAGCAGCCACTGCAC